CCCCAAAACCCCAAAACCCCAAAACCCCTTGTATTTATATTTTATTGAATAAATTAATGAAAAGTGCAAAAAGAAGAACAAAAAATGTCAATAAAAGTCTTGAAAATTTGAGAATTATAGTTGATCATGCCCATTTATCTAAGCTAAGGCCACTAACAATTTACTGTATTGGCAAAGCCAATTTTTCTAAAGGTGAATTAAGTAAATAATTCATAGTTTATCAGTTCGACATCATTATCCCAAAGAAGATTAAAACAGAGGAGGTTGGTGGGAAAATAGAAGAAGGGATCAAACAGAATGAGAAAGATTTCATCCAGACAAAGAAACTTGAGAGTATTCCTCAGTTGAAGAAAAGAGTAATTTTTATCTGATGCATAGATATCCAACTTCAACAAATCTAATCTCTCTGAAGAAGAGACCGTGGAGAAGCAAATGGAAAGTATTCTTTCACATCCCTTGGTATACAAGGATCTGCCTAGTTTAGTAATAGATCTTAGATTCAAAAGTTTTCTGAATCTTGAGCTAAGAAACATCTTCAATCAAAGTGGTGACATAATCAACTCATTTGCAGACTTAAAGCTTAGAGACAAGTGTATCTTCCTAACAGATGATAAGACATTGTTGACTAAGAAAAAGGAGCTCTTCTTGTTTACTTCTTGTTTCCATACAAAACTTTATCTCAAAGAGATAATCCCTATTGATCTGTTAGACAATTTCAGAAATGATGGGACACAGATCATGGAGATTGAGGATATACTTACAGAAGACTGTGATCTTGACGAAGGAAAAGATGACAACTATCATAGACGCATTGATCCTTTCCGTATGATGAGTGAGAAACTTGAGCTCATCAGAATCCTCAAAAAGCCTCAAAGACTCCTCCTCGAACGGTAATTTTGCAGGTAAAATACTCTAGAGTATAACTTCTCTTCCCAAAATAGGAAGCCAGTCATTGTGTATTGATAAAAAGAGAGGAAAATAGAATCGAGGATCAAGTCAAATTGAGAAAATCTATGGATAAAACAAGGATTCATCAGCAAAATGGCTATTACAAGATCTGTGCCCATCCAACTCTCAAAACATTTGAAATGCTTAGGAAGAGTAATGACACGAAGTAAGTCCAAGAAGTTATGACCTCTTCTAGAAACCAGAACTGAAATAAGAGAAATCATAGCTTGAGTAAACCAAGATATGATTATAAGATGAAAGGGTTGAGTCTAAAGATGACTCAAGACTACAAATTACCTAGGAATATGTCTAAAGCTATCCCTAGAGGTCAAAGTTCAGAGGAGTTAATCGACACAAGGTATTTTGAGCATTAATAAATCCTTAATGACCATATCTAAATAGGTACAAAAAGAAATGGTTAGACGAACTGGAACAGAAAGGGATTACAAGTAATGTGCACTTTTATTTTTAGGAAATACAACTAGTTTTCCTGACATCCTTAAAAGCCCCACAGCTGCTAGCTCATATAAAACTTATGGAAAACCCCAAGAGAAGGATCTGATTGAAGAGGAGTTCAGCATAGAGCAAGAACTAGAAGACTTTCGGGATCGTAAACTTACTGCACTCAGAGTTCACAATAAAGCTGATACAGGCAATCTAAAATAGAGGCATGCGATTTCTAGAAAAACTTGAGGAGAAATTTGCCAGTTCCTCTAGAGATTTTGAAATTACAACCAGGATGAATATTAAAAGAGATGAGATCGGCAAGAAGATTAAACAATTTAAGAATAAATATACAAAACTTAAAGTGACGGAGAAGAAAAATTCTGGCCTCGCAATTTCGACTTCGATCGATAATTCAATTCATAATACCTCAAGAGGTACTCCTTTAGCAATGGAGAAAATAGTACTGAGCCTTCAGAATCCAGGATCAAAGAAGCCAAGGAAGAAAATCAAGAAGCCTGAAAATGCAGACTCTTTTAGATATGCTCAATCGATGCTTGATTTATCAGACAGTATAATGAATGTTATGGGATCTAAAAGCTCTAAGAAAATCCAACAGGAGACTGAGGATCACCCTCACTATACTGCTAGAGTATTAGTAGAAATACTTAAGCCAAGTGTGTCAAAAGCAAGTATTAAATAATATGACAAAAATGCTCAATTTTAATATAAAATTAAGGGGTTTTGGGGTTTTGGGGTTTTGGGGTTTTGGGG